AAGCTCCTGATTTCCCCTTCAATTTTGATTAATAGCCTTGCTGGATAGATTATTCTTGGATTAAGTCCTTTGCTTTGCATCACTTTGTATACTTCATTCCATTCCCTTCTGGCTAGATGTGTTTCTGTTGAGAAATCATTTGATAATTTGATAGTGGATTCTTCATAGATAACTCTCTGTCTCTCTCTTGCAGCCTTTACGAATCTGTCTTTGTCCTTAACATTTGCCATTGTAATTATGATGTGTCTTGGTGTGGGTCTTTTGAGGTTCATCTTGCTTGGGATTCTCTGTACTTTTGTGACTTTTTTCTTCCCCATATCAGGGAAGTTTTCTGTCATTATTTCTTCAAATAGATTCTCTAAGCCTTGCTGCTCTTCTTGTCCTTCTGGCACCCCTATCATATGTATGTCACTTTGCTTCATGTTGTCCCAAAGCTCCCTTAGGCTCTCCTCCTGCTTTTTAATTTTTTTTCTCCAGTTGGTGTTCAGATTGGGCTTGTTTCTCTACCTTATCTTCTAATTCACTAATTCAGTCCTCCGCTTCTTCTAGTCTATCGCTGAAACCTTCCATCACATTTTTTATTATAGCTATATCACTTTTGATTCTTCCTGATTTTTGCATATGTTGTTGATTTTCTCATCCATCCCTTTTATGAACTGTATGACCATTACTCTGAATTTTTTTCTGTCACATAGCTTGCCTCTGTTTCACTTACTTCCTTTCTTGGTTATTTCTCTTTTTCTTTCCTCTTGGGATTGTTTTGTTGTCTCCCCATTCTACCTATCATCAGAAGGTACAAGTGCTGAATTGTGGGGGCCTGAGCCATGTGCAGTGGGAGTGTCGTGCCACCTGAGTGTCACTGAAGTGCTCTGACACAGAGATGTGTGGCTGCCGAGGGTCAGTGGGAGCCACACACGCTGAGAATAAGTAACCAGCCCTCAGTGCGGCCTAATGTGCACACCTAGAATCAGGGTCCCCATATGCTCTGTGCTGAGAAAGAGTCACCGCTTATGTGTGCCAAAAGTCAGAGTCCCCAAGCGCGTGCCAGGAATCAGAGTCCCCATGTGCACATACCGAGAATAGAGAATAAGAGTCTCTGTCACTCTGTGTGGCCTCGCGTGCACACCAAGAATTAGGGTCCCTGTGTTCATGTGCACCGAGAATTGGAGTCACTGGTGCTCAGTGTGCACGCACCAAGAATCAGGGTTCCTGTGCACGCGCAATGAGAAACAGAGTTCCCGCATGTGTGCGGGGAGTCAAAGTCACTGGTGCTCAGTGCAGCCTCCTGTGTAGAAAATCAGTGTCCCTGGCCTGCTTGGGGGGCTGGATTGCACAGCCACCCTGTGTCAGCGGGAGGCCTACTCACACACAGTGAGAAACAGACTCCCTGTGTGGTATGCCCAGAGTCAAAGTCAGGTTGCACAACTGCCCTGTGTCGGCAGGAGACCTGCTTGTGTGGTGTGTGTCTAGCAGGTCCTATGCCACTGTGGAGGGCTGGTGGGGAGGGGGATGGGCTCTGTGACTCACAGAAATCTGTAGCCAGGATGTCTGGAGTCTTGGTGTCTGTGGGTCTGCAGTTGTGGTAGCAGGTCTTTGTCCTTAGTGGCTGTAGGGTCCAGGTTTGTGTCTGAGGCTAGACTGGGCAGTGGTGAGGCTAGGATCCTAGTCGCAAGAAGTTCTGCCCTTCAAGATGGCATGGTTTCTGTGCCAACGCTGGCCACCTCAGAGTGTTTGCAGTGGCAGTGGGGTTTTGCAGTCTAAGACTGCCCAGTCCGCCAGCCCCCCAAAAGTTCTGCAGGATCTAACTGTCCCTAGCTCACACACACACACACACACACACACACACACAACACACATCCACACACTCCTTTATCGCTCCCTTACTCTCTCACACTCTCCCTCCCTGCCTTCTTGCCAGTCACCATCTTCCAATCTCCCAGAATTTCAATTTAGCCAAAAATTTCTATTATTAGCATGAGCCACTTCTCTGTTTTAGAAACCTGTGGTTATTGCCAGCATGCAGCTATTTTCATTTTCTGATCTTGCTCTATGCAGGAACCTGCTCAAGTGCATTAACCTACATTAGCCCATTTAATTTTCACACAGAATGTATAAGGTATATTTGTTATCATGCCTATTTGACAATTGAGGAAATTAAGGTACAGGGAGGGACTCTTCCTAAGAAGGGACAGTTAGGTACAGGCATGTTGCCTTAAGAAAGTCAAGCAGCCAGGGCATGGCAGGTGCGGGCAGGAACAGGAATAGGTGCTGAGGCAACCTCTGAGTATCCACAGGGGCACTCAGGAGTCTTGGAAGTTTTTTTAAAAAATTCCCTATTGAGTTCCTGCTACCAACTATACAATTATGGTAGCTTTTTTATGGAGCCCAAACTCTTAATCACCTTAATACCTACACAGGAAAGAATAGTTGACTGAATGCTAGGAGCCCAGACAGGATTTTCTGTCCATTTTAACTGCGTCTGCCTGGAATATCTTTTCTCTCCTGGCAGCGACTCTACTTTAGTCCTCCTTCCTCTACCCCAGACACTCCCAAAGGCTCTCTGACCAGCAGTTGACACTTTAGCCGAACCACGCAGGAAGAACTTTCTTCTGAAGATTGAAAACACAGCTTCCCCCCCCCACTGCATCTGTATCTTCTCCCTAGACTTACACCAAGGACATCCACTGATATAATATTCAATGTCACAACCCACCCTACATTATCCTAGGCCCTAGGAATGCCCTTAAACTTCCCCTTTCCTGGGCCTCACACCTTTCCAGAGCAGGATGAAAACTTCTCACCTTTTGTATTCCCTCTCAGGCCAAAGAATCTTGGGGTGTGGGGTGGGAAGGATAGGAAGACGATAGGTTAGGAGTGCAGAAGGCACTTCCTGTCTGAGGATAATAGTAGGCTTCATAACTGTGCAGTTTTGCCCCAGCCAAGCCACAGGGCAAGTGGCTCTGAAAGAAGTGGCCTCACTTTGCTTTTCTGAACTTTTCCACTCTGGCATGGGTCTAACTGGGATCATTAGGTTTAGGTTTGTCTACTTGTTGGGTCTCTTTAGACTGAAAATATGTTATCCACCTTCATCCCCACACTCCATCATCCATCGACTCCCCTCATAAGCACCCCAGACACAGCTCTCAGATTTCCAGATGGTGCTGGGCATTCTGTGAATATGTGCTGGTGATGACTAGATTAAAGAGATAAATTGACCTGGCCAAGTCCTGCAGTCTCTGACTTCAGGATTACATTGAACTGGGCTGTGGACACAGGAGATTTATAGTACTTAGGACTGATACTTAAACTGAACATCAGAGAACACTTCCTCATTCTCCACCCCAGGCTAACAAGCTCTGAGTAAGGAGAACAGTGACTTACAGCTGGGATGCTGTGAGAGACAGATTCCCTGTGAGGGTTTCAGTCAACACTGACAAACTAGCCCACATCTTTTTAAAAAAATATTTTATTGATTTCAGAGAGGAAGGGAGAGGGAGAGGGAGATAGAAACATCAATGCTGTGAGAGAATCATTGATCCGGCTGCCTCCTGCATGCTCCCTACTGGGAATCGAGCCTGCAACCTGGGCATGTGCCCTTGACCGGAATCGAACCTGGGACCCTGCAGTTCACAAAGCCCACATCTTAAACACAAATAACCCCTAGAAGTATTTGAAGCTTGGGGTGCAGTGAGGGTAACTATAACAAGGAACTGTAAACTAAACCCAAGTCCTGACTAGATAAACACAAGTACTGAACAAAAAGGCTTACCACAGGAAAGGTCAGCTTATCGGTATTAAAACAAAACCCCCTCACCAAGTACTGTCCTAAAGGATGTGTCAAGATTCCAGTGATGCTCTGTCTTACTGCATCTTATCAGGTGGAACTCAGTTGCACTTTGTCCTATTACTGACGATGATCACTTCAATCACCTGATCACTAGGTTTTGCTGTAAAAGTCACTCTTTACTTCTTTAAAATTAAAAGGATATTGTGGAATGTAACTTAAAACTATATGTATGTTTGTACTCATCAAACTTTTAATTTACGCATTTCTATCAGTAGGGATGTATGGTGTCCTAATTTATTCAATAGATAAATTATAAATATTTTGCTGCTCTAATTCACTTATTTTGTTGACGGGAGTCCTTTCAATTTGGTATCTTCATCCCTTTGATATCCCATCATTATTCCTTGAGCATCACCTTGTCCTTTCCATAAGTTGTTCAAGACTCATCTTACACTTGTGTCTGACATGTCTGAGTATAACCATTTCTCCCAGTTCTAGTGGAGAATGGTATTTAGAAGCAAATGGTCTAGACTTGGCTTTTCCTGTAGCTCCCCTGACATCCCAATGTTCTCAACATTAGAAGCTAGTGGTGTTGGTTGTATGTTGTTGTTGCTTACGTTTATCATTAGGAGTGGTGCCTATTAGTGGAGTTCTGCTAAAGATGAAAGGGAGTCTCTCCCCTAAGCCCTTATGTCCAAGCACTATTTTCCTTTGCATGAGTTGAATGATAGGTTGGACATCTCTTCTCACTCAATCCAAATTTCCCTATAAAACAGAAGCCAAAAAAATTCCTGTAAGTTACTGACAGGTAGAAATCCTAGGTTCCAACACTGGTATGGCTCTTATTTCAGATTATCATTTGATGACCAAATTTCAAAAACGCTTTTGCACTTTGAAAAGGAAGGGGAAAGATAAATGTGTAAGGTTAAGAATACCATACACATTGATTGCTCAGTTTAAAAACAAAAATAAGCAAAGAAATATATCAACTATTTTTTATTTCAGTTATTTGATTGTTGGTATAAATAACCTACTAGCCCGTTATTGAAGTTCATACTCTGATGGAATATATACATCCTATTTAATTAATATCTGAATGATCTCATAACTACTATGTTCTATGAAATATGGAATTAGATACTAAGCATTCCATGTATAAATAATTACTTCAAAAATTATAACAATTTTAGAGTGAGTTAGTCTTTAAATGTGTCCTTCTTTGGCACAGAATAATGTCTTTTTCACTGAAATTCATTAAAAGTGGTAATTTATTATCTTACTAGAGGCCCGGTGCACAAAAATTTGTGCACTCGGGGGGCGGGGG